GTATAAAACTTGTAAATTGGAAATTCAAATTCAGTGCCATTTTGGTTCAAATTCTGCCAAGTATGAAACAAGTTTTGCCATTTTGGTTCAAATTCAGCACCATGTTGGCAAAAGACATTCTATAGCATTAGCCCATGGAGGTAATACCAGTTCGTAATGTTCTTTTGCTAAGTATCACCGTAATGTTTTTCTTTCAAGGAGGTACTAGCATGTAGAATGCAACATGGCATTTGAACTAGACAAAGTTGTCTCTACTTAGCTTCTTGAGGATGAAACATTGGTGCGGGCTTTACAAAGTAATAATAAGTTTTGTGTGTGTTGGGTAGGTGCATCTTCTTAATGTAAAGGTCGAAAGTTTAATAATCCCTCATGTCCATGTTACTACTAAAGTTGTCCTAAAGCAGCGACAAGTAATATGGATCGGAGGGAGTGGTGTTTTATTCTTAAACAGAACGGGACAAGCGACGCGTCAGATGCCTGAAATCATTTTTTTTCCGCCAGTTGATTATGTGGACCATTCGGTCTAAAATAAATATGTGGATGTGTTTCTTCTTCCTCAGAACGGTATCATCTCCTCAGACACGTTTTGTCTCTCTCGCCCTTCTCCTCTCATCACACGCCTCTGACACCTCATGTCCCGCCTCCAGTAATGTCAGGTCCAAGCCCTTGCCGGTGAGACTAAGGCCATCTATGGTATTGTCGTCTCAAGATTGGGCAATTTCCAATTTGAGAGTGAGTTGGAATGATATGTATACAATTTAATGGAGTGTAGTTTGTTTAAAGGTCTTGTATCCTCTGAGTCGGAATGATATTAAGTTACTTTGTCACAACATTTTTTTTGTTGAAGCTATAGAAAAAGGGTGGCACGACTTTATCTTTAGACGAACTTATATGGAAATCCTTAGAATTACGGAATAGCTTGAAAGACGGGTGTGAACAAGTAATTATGCATTGGGGGGTATGAACCCCTGTGGATGTTGTCTGCTGAGAGGAAATTTTTGGTCAAGTCCCTTTATAAAATTCAAGTCTTCATTTGGCTGGTTAATAGAAAAAGTGTATTAACTAGAGATAATCTTCTTAACCGGGGATGGAAAGGAGACAAAAGTTGTGTTTTCTATGGGCAAGATGAAAGCATGCATTGATCACCTTTTTCTCATGTTCTGCGACAAGGCTGATTGGGAGCCTACTGCAATGTGCTTTTGATCTATATTCTATCCCTATAAATCTTAAATATTTCTCTGATAGATGGATCAAGATATTCCATAAACCTGACAAAAAACTTGTTCTTGTCGGGGTCTTGACTCTGTTTTGGTCTCTCTGGAAGTGTAGAAATGATGTGATTTTTAACAGAAAAAAATTATGAACCGATGGTGCTGGTGAAACTAATGTGTAATTGGATATCTGATTAGTCCATTTTGCGGATAAAGGACCCAGAGGCAAAAATATTGATGCTGGGAAGAAGACTAGTTGAGCAGGCGGAAGTGAAGTGTTTCGCGTTTCGTAGGGATGGGGACCTAGAGTCCTTCGACTTGGTGGCTAATTCAAGAGACGGCAAAGTGAAGTTGGGTGGGACTTTTGTGCTGCTGATATTGGAAGTTGGTTGTTTATTGGCTCTAGGTTATTTTCTCCTATTGTTCCTTTCGTGTTGGTCCCTGCAAAAACTGGTTGATGTCTATTGCTCTTAGCATGCGCTTAGCCTTATTTTAGCCCCTACTATGTTGGTCTGTAATAGAACCTTAGTTTGAATCTTGCTGGATGCATGTAACTTCGTGTGGTGTGCGTAAGTGTTTGTAGATGCTTCAGACAAGATGGTTTCATTATATGAAACCGGAGAGGGGGGCCTCTCTTTTCCTTAAAGAAAATCCTTTGAGCTACCGGAGGACCAAGCACATAATGAAGGGATGCCTAACTATTGAACTACCAGAGGATCCATGGATTCATCATATATATCAATGTTACCACTCAAGTCTTTATAAAGTGCACCCGAGCTAGGCCACCACCCCCTAAGCAGAAGATGAATAACATGCTCCTCATGTACTTCTTTGTGTTAGAATTAGAATTATCCAATCTTACATGTTGTATCGGCACAACACAGATTTGAATCAGTTTAGGCATGGAAGGCACCAGAAATTACCCACGGATCCTTGAGGGCTTGAATAGGCGGCGGCATGTTCGCTCGATGGTTCACAAGAAGTAGCGCAGACGAGGAAATCACCGAGTGCCACCTCACCGGATTTCTGATGCTACGTGCACTGATTGTGTGTCAGCTACTTCGATCCCATCTATGACTTGGACTGCTAGTATGTGCACCTTCCAGCGTTGAGTGCCACAATGCTGGAAAAAGCAGGACATGCAGCAACTCAACGCAACCGCATGAAATCTTGTTTTGAGGGAAGTCATGAGTGCACTAGCTTGGTCGTGTAGATCTCTATTTCCGTTGCTAGAGAAGCCATGCGAGGGTTTTTTGTTTCTCATTTCGAAAACAAACCTGGCTCGCAATATGACTTGCATGCACCCAAAATCCCTGCTCTTCCGGGCTCCACTCCTTCCTCCTCCTCGGAATAGCCCCTCCCACTCCCTCTCGCCTCAATATCTTCTCGCTCCACGATGCGGAAAAGCCACGCCAACAAAAATCTCTCTTCATCCTCCAACGCCGACTTCACACAGATAAATTGTTCTCACGTGTGCTCTGCCCCGACACGCGGGGCGGCTCTAAACCCTAGTCACGGCAGCTGGTTGCACCCGTTCGGCCACCTCTCCCGTCCGGCTACCCCTCGACAACTTGACTCCCACCCCCAAGCGGCCAAGCCCCCCTGCACCGCTCGGCTATTCCATCACGCCCTTGTAGACCAGTCCTGTCTCATTGGTTTGGACTAGCGAGGTGTGGTCGATGGCCGGCGAGGTGAGACACGATGAGTTGCTCGCGTCGGTGATGTTGCAGACTGGAAGCACAGATACAGATCCATGGCAACGAGGTGCATTCTGAATCTGAATCTCGTCTTCTCTGCTATTATGGTCAAGTGTTGTTTATAGATATAAAATGTGGTACAATCTGCTAACTTCTCGAGCAATATAAACCATCTCCATCTCTGCTAATTTCGTACAGCCATATGACCATATCTCCACTACAACTATATGTGGCTGTGTGTTGTTTTTTAGATGTATAACTCCCACTCGGAATGATACTTAACTTGCTTTGATCGCAACATTTTTGTTGCTGAATCTATAGAAAAAGGGTGGAACACATTTTCTTTTAGAAGAACTTCATATGGGGAATCCTTAGAATTATGGAATAGCTTGAAAGAGGGGTGTGAAGAAGTCATTATGCATGGGGGAAAAGATGAACCCCTCTGGATGTTGTCTGCTGATAGGAAATTTTCGGTCAGGTCTCTTTATATGTTTCTTATTCAGAATAATTGTGGTTTCCGACATAACTTCTTATGGAAAATCAAGATTCCTGCTGAAATTAAATTATTCTTCTCACTGGTTAATAGAAAAAGTATATTATAGCATAATGGAACATATAAATCACGCTAGGCAACCCGCCGTTCTAGCGCGTTTGCATCGCGCGAGTGATTTGGTTCGCACGATCTACCTTGATAGGTACTTTTCACGGTGCTGTCATGACTCAGACCGTCGATTTACATACACGTCATGCTTTCAGGTTTCAATGGATGACGGGTGGGTCTTTTTTACTCGCGGGCCCAGCTTTGTGGTGTATCTCGCGCGAGCCTTGGGTGAGAAAAGGAATGGGATGCACGATCGTGGGTCTTGCGTGGGATGGGCTGCAGGGATCGTGGGTCAAAGTGGGGCAGGTGGATTGACACAACCATTCTCTCACATTCATGCGTCGTTCCCGACTGTGTCTCTTCGTTTTTTCAGGCGGTGCCCCATAGTGATCCCACATGTCGGTCTCTTGGGTAGACACACTTGCCCTTGCCATGTGAGTTGAGCTTCTTCCTTTTGCCCGCTGGGTAAATAGCTGCCTGGCACCGTCGCCTCCTCTTCCTCTCTTCTTCCTAGATGACGCCTCTGTGCACTTCTCGCATGATTTTGACCGGGCGCCTCACCTCAACAGCCAACGCCAACAGCAGCATAGGGATCTATGGTGGGGAAGGAGCAGCTGATGCGGCGTCGGCGGTGGCACGAGAGGAGCGGCGGCGGCGGCGGCGGCGAGCAGCGAAGAGGCGCCGCTCGGGCGAGACGACGGAGGCGGGAGCGGCTGCTCCGGGCCCCGATCTTGGGAGGGTACGAGGCACGGAAGGGCGCCGTCGTCGTCGTTCGCCGTCGCAGGTCTTCCTTCTGCCCCTTTCGCTCCATCTCTGATTAGTCCTCTTCCCATCTCTCTTGCTCGCCAGTGGCGACTCCTCCCCTGCCTCCTCACGTCGCCCTTGAGTTGGAGGAAACGAGGACAGCTTGCGGGCGAGCTCAAGCCGGTGAAATGTGAGCTGAGCGTCTTTTACGTTTCCCTTGTGTCTCTTGGCCTGTGTTTGTACGGCCAGTATTGCCTTGCTGAGATGTATGTGTTCTCTTCTCTCTTTAGATATGTGCACAGTGACTGAATTTATCAAGGACGATGGAGCTTGTTGGCCAATTTTTGTAGTGCTCATTTGTTTGATCCTCATGCAACTACGGTTTGCTCGAGATCTGTTCTGAATATGACTGTGGGCTGTTCAATACTATCGGTTTTCAGAACAAATTTGGACGTTTTCAGTTAGAACAATATGCCTGTGCGCCCAGTTGGTAATGTCCTGCTTTGTTTCTCTAGATGGTTAGCTACATGGCGGAGAGCGTTGTGGGCACTTCATTTGGCATCGTCTTTCAGGTGATTGCTCTAACCATTGTTTGCTGCTCTGTTTGTGTTGTTGATTACCAGCCTGATGTTTAGCGAAATGGATGCATGTGTAGGCTAAATGCTTGGAAACTGGGGAGACGGTGGCCATTAAGAAGGTACTGCAGCCAGGACCGACGGTCCAAGAACCATTTGATGAACCATTCCAATGTTGTTCTCCCTCAAGCACTGCTTCTTCTCAACCGCAAGTAGAGATGAGCCGTTTCTAAACCTTGTCATGGAGTATGTCCTAAAGATACTCTACCGTATGCTTAAGAACTACAGTAATGCCAAACAGGGGATGCCACTTATCTACGTCAAGCTTTACACCTATCAGGTTTGTGAATTGCCAGTGAATAAATGTGAAATGTGTGCCTGCCATTGTGCAACTTTTCTAAGTCAATTCTATATTGGCGGCGGCTATTCAGGGGGCTTGTGTAGGTTCATACTGTTCCTGGAGTCTGCCACGGGGATGTGAAGCGACAAAATGTTTGGTATGTATCAGTGAATACTTTCTGTGTGCATCACTTATGCAGAGGCCAGGGTCATCCCCTTTCTAAAGAAAATGTATCAGTGAACACTGTACATATTTGCTCGGTTATCATGTATTGCTTTTCATGCTTGCTTTTGAACTTGCCTTCACTTGCTTCCTTATACAGGTGGGCAGGGCCTTTTGATGGGAATCATGTTCAGTATTCTTGTCCAGGTCTTGCTGTTTGTGGCCATCACACTGCACACCATCAGGCAAAATAAGGTATGTGTTCAAAGGTTGTAGCTTGGCTAGGCCATTTCTAATTTCTCAGATTTAGGATCATGTGTGTAGTATAAAGTAAACCATGCTTCGTCAACTGAATATGTGTATGTATGTATAGGCAACGAAGGTGTACAAGTATACCACAAGGTCAATGCTATATGTGTATGTATGTATGGATAGGTGCTACTGAAGTGAGATTCCGAGAAAATCTGCATACAAGTATATCGCAAGGTCAATGCTATATTATTCTTAAATGAGAGTTACACTAGGTTGGCTTTTAATATACTTGGAGCATCTATAGACTTGCATTTTTTTTCCAACAGTCTAATTACTCCATGTTACTACCGCATCCATTTTGGTATGTGGTATTGCAAGTGTAAATTCAGGAAAAAAAACTATGTTGTTTAGTGCGAGCTGCAAATTTAGTTTTTTGGTATGGATGGGTGTTATGGGTTGTGAAACATCAAGGTTAAAACAAAATAAACAAGCCGTGAGCTTAACTTGAATGATACAGCCACTCAGCTAGGGGTGACTTACTGAAATGAATATGTTGAGCAGAAGGAGTTAGGGTGAGATTGTGTTGTACTAAATGATATTTTGAGAAGGAAAGAATAGTTGTCTAAACATATTAGAAAAACAAAAGTAGATTGGTTTACCCTGGAATTTTACTCGTACTTATTCTTTATTGTGTAGCCGCCATGTTGACAGGCTGGTATCTCTTTGTTCCATTCTATTGACTTCCTGTGGCATTAGTATGAAGCCCTTTGAGCACAAACCTTTCGACTGAAGGACCGTCATGGGATTTGGAGTGCTCACTGGCATCTCAATTGGGCTTCTCAATGAGAGTCTAGGTTTCAACTCTGTTGGTTTCTATCAGGTAAGCATTGTTCTTATGAAAAATGAATAGTCGAGTGCATTGGTTGGATCTAGCTTATTTCTGAAAATAACTCTGAACCATGTATATATTTGCAGGGCAAGTTGAGTGCATTGGTTGGATCTAGCTTCTTGATATTGCAGAGGACTCGTCAAAAGGCTAGCACTTATTCTATAATGCATGTCCCTACATATTATAAAGTCATCCATTAATCACACGTGATGTGTTAGCCTCCCTTTATATGTACCGGAGTTTTCTCTATGTCACTACAAAATAGGCATCAATGTACTTTTAGACAAGACACTCACAATCATGATTCTATCTTCATGTATGTTCATTTTAGGCGTTATCTCTTTTGCCTCCACAGGCGCTCAAACTCTATCCTATTGTCGGTTTATTATTTAGTTAAAACTGAAGGAGATTGAGTAGGAGCGCCTCTTTTTATATATACAGAATATGGATTCAACAACCAACTTTAGCGAAGAACAAACCATCAGCAAGTGTAACCTGGGATAGGTGTGCACAAATCCTTGAGAAAAGACATAATCACAGTGAAATGCTACTTTCCAGTGATTTATTGTGGTCCTTCGATTTTTCAGTAGGGAGCTCAAAAGGTTTATAGGAGAGAGGAAGTTGATTTTCTTCTTATCCACATGCTTGCTAGATGTACATTTTTTTCTCTTTCAGTAATTTGTGTTTCATGAAAGCTAATGATGTTGCATAGTGTCTTTTTTTACCTGTTCATTTTAATTGGGAGAAAGTGTCACTCTTTCTTGGGAATTACTAATTATATGGAACAATAGTCACCTTACAAAGTTCTTCAACTAAATGTTTTTGTGTGTGCAACTTCGATTAGTTTTCCTATTCATTTGTTGTACAGTTTTATTTTGCAGAAGCAGCATGGAAGACAACAAGCAAAAATGTTAATTATGAGGACGGCGAAAGACTACATATCGTAGTTACCAAAAGTTGGGTGATCAAAGCAATCTACATGATGCATCTCTGAGTATGTAGCTTTGCTTACCGGAAGCTGGGTGATCAAAGTAATCTACATGATGCATCTCTACCTATGTATCTTTGCTTAGAATAAACTGATCTCATGATTCTTTTAGCCTATGAACCTACCATCAGTGTAATATTGGTCTTTAAATACTTCCAACTTGCATGGTTTTCTCTCGCCCTTTGCGCCATTGGCGCAACGGGTCATCTAGTATTCTTAAATGAGGATGGAAAGGAGACAAAAGTTGTGTTTTCTGTGGGCAAGATGAAAGCATTGATCACCCTTTTTTCTTCTGTAAATCTCAAAGATTTCTTTGCTAGATGGATCAAGAAATTCCAGAAACCTAACAAAAAATTTGTTGTTGTTGGGGTCTCGGCTTTGTTTGGTCTCTCTCGAAGTGTAGAAATGATGTGATTTTTAATATAACAAAATTTTACTATCCGGTGGTGCTGGTGAAAGTAATGTGTAATTGGATCTCTGAAATGCCCACTCTGCAGATAAAGGACCGGAAGACAAAAACGTTGTTGCCAGGAGCAAGACTAGTCGAGCAGGTGGCAAGTGAAGTGTTTCGCGCTTCGTAGGGATGGAGACCTGGAGTCCCTCGTCTTGCTGGCTAATTCCAAAGATGGTGAAGTGAAGTTGGACGGGCCATTTGTGCTGCTGATCTTGGAAGTTGGTTGTTGGCTGTCTATTGGCTTTAGGTTGCTTTGTCCTAGTGTTCATTTTGTGTTGGTCCCTGCAAAACGGGTTGATGTATTTTGCTCTTAGCATGTGCTTGGCGATATTTTGGCCCCTGTTGTTCGGGTCTGAGATAGAACTTTAGTTTGAATCTTGCTGGATGCGCATAACTTCATGTGGTGTGCGTAGTTTTTGTAGATGATTAAGAGCAGATAGTTTCATTATATGAAAATGGAGGAGGCCTATCTTTTGCTGGGAAAAAAATCATCCGAGCTACCGAAGGACCAAGCACATATTGAAGGGATGCCTAACTATTGAACCACCGGAGGATCCATGAATTCATATCAATGCTACCACTCAAGTCTTTATAAAGTGCATCCGAGCTAGGCAACACCCCTAAGAAAAATATGAATAGCATGCTCCTCGTGTACTTCTTTGTGTTAGAATTATCCAATACTACATGGTGTATCCGAAAAACACGGATTTGAATCCGTGTAGGAATGGAAGGCATTAAAAATTACCCATGGATCCTCGAGGGCTTGAATAAAAGGCAGTGTGTTCGCTCAATGATTCACAAGAAGCAATGCTACCCAATGAGGAATTCGCCGGCTTCCACCTTACCAAGTTTCTACTCCTACAAACGCTAAGTGGATGTCTGCGGCTTCGATCCCATCTGTGACTTGAAGTGTGGGTACGTCAGTGCCCATCTTGCATTAGGACGCACCAATTCCATTGTACAGCTTTGGGTTGTGAAAGCAAGGACTCTCATGAAACCACGTTGCTTAGTTTGACAAAGATGGAGCAATTGGTGCAGCTACACATTGAATTCATTGTGGCCAAATTGTTCATCACCTAATGAGCAAAAGGAGGACCACTTCATACTATCTAATTCAATTTGAGCATTCTCTAACCACAGCATAGCCAGCCCCGTAAAATGCATAGCAGCTGTATGGACCCAAAGCTCTGAATCGACGTAAAACACACGAAAATATGACTCGTAGTTCCTACGCCAACTGCGGGAGCGCTTGCCACCAAACAGAGGGAAACCCATCTTAGGGCGAGGACAAAACGACAAACCCGCACAGTGTGGACTGCCCGAGCATGAGAAATCCCTTTGTGGAGAGTGACCAGACTGTGGCTTCCACGGATCGGGCGAGCGAATCATGGAACGTGAATGGGAATCGGCCGATTGGAATGTACCAGTGATCGGAAGTGGCACAAGGGTTGCGACCACCCCGTTGCTCAATCCCCGGGATGCGCTGTCGTCGCGGCGGCCATCAGGCCTGAAGAGAGTGTCGCCGGCGCCAACGATCAACGCAATGTTTGGTCTTGGTATGACCGGCGGTATATCCATCGGCTTGAGCACCCGGACAGGGTTGCGGATGACTGTGTCGATGTCGCGTTGCATGCCGCCTAGCTCCGTGCGCAGATCCGCCACCGGTTAGACCAGATTGGGCCTCCATTCCGCGAGATCAAGGACTGATGGCTTGATCTCCTCTAACAGGGTCGTGACGCCGCCACCGCCTTCTGGATGAAAGAGTTTTGCTCCTGGATCAGCTTGAGAGTCACCGCGAGCTCATCGACCCCCTGCTCCATTTCAAGGGGTTGGCGATGCTAACGCGTGGAGAAGGTTGGTTTCTGGAGATAATCCGGCAAATCTGACACAAAATGTTGTGTCCCCTCTCACATATATAGATTACATCCAAGCTCTAAAGTAGTTTTGGACAGGATTTTGGGTAGCAGGAGGAAGAACTGAGAGGAGATCAAGGAAATAGAGAAGGGGTCGGGAGGTGGAAGAAGGAGATGAGGTCGAGAGTACAGCAAAATGGCCAAACGTAACCCTACCTTATGCCCACACCTACAGAAATAGGCCTCCAGGCACAGGAGCCACGTTGTTGGGTCGAAACGGTGACCGAGCTTCTTCTTGCACCTGGGCCTTGACGGTCCTGAGGTTGGGGCCTGTGCTAGTAGGGGCCGTGATAGTAGAGTGCCACAATGTTGGGAAAAGTAGGACATGCAGGAGCTCAAAACTTGTCCTAGTGTTTCTTTTGTGTTGGTCCTTGCAAAAACTGGTTGATGTGTGTTGCTCTTGGACAGTGGCGACTCGTTAATTAATCCCTGATTAATTAATTCATTCCTGAACGGCAAAAAAAAGCTTCGGCTCGGCTCATTCGCGCAACGCGCGTGCGGCGCGGCGCGTCGTGGCGAGGCGGGTGGCGGAGGAGGAGGAGCGCGCGTGTACCACTCCTCTTCCCAAGCTCCTAATGGCAAGTGGTAGAGCAGCCCTTATAAAGGGGTCTCAACTCTCCTCAACTAGCAAGGTGGGACTAAACTTCCCACCACCTGCCATCTCATACATGGGCCTCAAGATTAACCAGGGATTACTGTCTTATATGGGTCTAAGCCCATCCATAATCCAACAATCCCCCACCAGATCTCGAGGCACATAAGTTTGTCAACTATTCCAAACAATGTTTGATATACGAGAATTTTCAGTGGAGACCGTTAAGTTAAACTTCTACCTAGAGCAACAGGATTAGACTTCTTCACAACTGAACAATGGACTATGCCTTGAATTGTCAGTTTGGCGTGCAGAAGTTTCGCCTGTTGTCAGCTGATACGTGGCTGCCGTAGGCTAAACCCCACGGGTGGAGCTTATTAGTCATACTTCGTACCTTCTCATGAGCTTACTAGAGATTACCCAATCTCATAGACTGTGACCAGCAGTCGGGCTCACATAGGTGTGTTCATCCAAAAAATGCTCTATAGGTTAGCATCTTGCTTACACAAGCTTTGGAACACATTAAGGCAAAAGTCAGCCTGCCTTATAGAATTGAGAGTATTGTCCATCTCCAACGGAGTGGGTTAATTAAGGATACTCTCCTCGGTTGACCGTTGGATTGTTTTCCCAGGTCCTAATTCACGGGATCTCCGATCACATAGGTTGGGTTACCCCCATAGCAACTTACGTGGGTCTCATACCCATCTCCCTCGATGCATTTTCTATCACAATCCGTGATAGCCCTTTCATAAAAGGGTCTGCCAGATTCTTAGCCGTCTGGATATAATCCAACGCTATTACTCTGGAGTTTCTTGATTTTCTGACAGATTTCAATCTTCTTCTTATGTGCTTTGTGGATTTCATGTTGTCCTTTGAACTCTTAGCCTTGGCAAACACTGTTTGATTGCCACAGTTCATAAGGACAGCCGGTACTGGTTTATCATCCACCGACAAATCCATCAAAAGCTCTCGAAGCCATTCTGCTTCGACGCATGATGTGTCTAATGTTGTGAGTTCTGCTTCCATAGTCGATCTGGTTAAGATAGTCTGCTTGCAAGACTTCCAGGAAACAGCACCACCACCAAGTGTGAAGACATGTCCACTTGTGGCTTTCATCTCGTTAGCATCAGATATCCAATTCGAATCACTATACCCCTCAAGTACCGTCGGGTACCCAGAATAGTGAATTCCATAGTTCGCAGTACCTTGCAAATAATGCATCACTCGCTCAACAGCATGCCAATCCACATCTCCCGGATTGGAAACAAACTGGCTCAGTTTGCACACAGCAAATGAGATGTCAGGACGAGTAGCACATGCTAGGTACATCAGTGAACCAACCACTTGAGAATATCTCAATTGATCTACAGCCGTGCCTTCGAACTTTCGAATCCGCACGCTAGGATCATATGGTGTTGCAGAAGGTTTGCAGTCCGAATATCCAAAACAGCTCAAAATCTTCTCAACATAGTGGGATTGCAAAAGTGTAATTCCACCCTCTGTCGGTGGGAACGACACCTATGGGATCACAAGAATCCCTACTACGGTTGCGGGGCGCGGGGTCGTGAGAAGAGCGGATCAAACAGATAGCACACGGTTCGTTTATCCAGGTTCGGGTCGCGAGGATGCGTAAAACCCTACTCCTGCTTTGGTGGATTGTATATCTGTGTTCTTGAGCTAGCTGTGGGCGTGAGGAGCTCCAAAAAGCCGAATCCTCCTCCTGGTCGCCTCGGGCCTCCTTTTATAGGAAAGGGGTTGCCACAGTGGCACACAGGAGGTGGAAAGGGTACAGTGATGTGAGGTTATCCCTTGTATTACATGACAAGGCGCATTTAATGTGTCTTGCCCAGGTGTCCTTGCTTTATCGGGGACGGGGGAGAGCCTTGTCTCGTCCGTCGCCGCTCCCTCTTGTGTCGACACGCGCCCTGGCCAGCAGCGCCCGCGGTGCCATGTAGGCAGGCAGGCAGCTGAGGTGGCGCAGTGGTGGGTCTCCACGAAGATCCGCATGCCGCCACGCAGGTGCCTGCCCAGCTGGTTGGGTCGGCAGCTGCATGCGAACGGCGGTGGAGGTTTGACTGGCGTGGGCCTGATGGTGGCCCTACAGGTGTTCTTGGCAAGGGCCTTGCCGGGGCCCCGGCAAGGGTCTTGCCATGGCGCCTGCTGTCATCCCCGGCAAGGCTCTTGCCGGGGGCCTTGTGGTCCTCCTTGGCTGGGATCCCGCCAAGGATCATCATCTTCTAAAGGGTGTATCTGATCTTAAATGTCTTCACAAAGATCCGCATGCCACCACAGGGATGTCTCCTGAATCATTGCCCCATGGGGGCAATGGACTCAAGGGTGACTCACTCCGTAGGTGTGGAGCGAGCTGCCACGGCAAGGGTCTTGCCGGGTTTGCTAAAACTGCCTCCCGGCAAGGATCTTGCCGGGGGGTCCGCTTCGTCCCCTTTGCTCTTTG